CTGGGAGGCTGGGGCCTGTACCAGTGACCAGAGCCACTGTAGGGGATCTAGGTGGAGCCAGTCTGGGCTGTTATACTGAGAACCAGACCCCTACCCACTCCTCACCACACTGGGGCTGGGACGGGCACGGAGAAGACACCCCTGCCGCCTCCACTACCGAGCGCACATCATCTGCTCTCTCTTCACAACTGCCACCATCATTCTGAGCCTCCTTATCATTCACCTTCTGCCCTGATGGCTGGATCCAGTGACATCACTGAATGTGAAGGGATCCGGGGACATCTTATTCCAATGGAAGGGGTGATGAGGCCTCACAAACATTTGACCACCCCCCTGGGAGATAGAAAACTCCAGAAGGAGGAAATAGCATGGTAGGCATGCAAGGCTCAGCAGCAACCTGCAGCTACGTGCCTAGCTGCCAAGTCCCATTCTGCAGAAGTGAATGTGAAGGCAGGCTGAAAGCGTTGCTCAGGGGATCCAGAACCTGTCTTGCTCCATGCTAGGCCTCGTCAAAGGCTGGGGCCAGGTGGCAGATGGACAAGCACCCCACCAGCTCTGTGTTTGTCAGGGGTTCAATCCAGGCCAAAGAGGGGTACACTGAGGCTGCTGTCATAGATTCCTCTATAAGATGAGCACCTGAGAACAGCCTCTGAACCTCTGAGGACACAGCAGGACCAACAGAAAAGGGGACAGAGGGTGATAGGAGGGCTGCCAGGGCCCGCAGAAGCTGCGGGTGGGAGTGGGGCTAAGGCTGGGTCTGATGAATCTGGTTGGCCCAAGTCTCCATGATTCCTCCTGAGCTCTCTGAACACAACCCCTGTCCTGAGCCTACCATGGGAGAGGAACTGCTTTGTAAATCCTCACCCAAAGATATGTTTTCCATTGATTTCTAAGGGTGGGGGGTGGGGAGAGAGAGAAACATCAATATGAGAGGCACATATCTATTGATTGCCTCCCACATGTGGCCCAACCGGCATTGGGGATCAAACCTGCAACCCTTTTGTTCCAGGGCAGACGCTCTAACCATTGAGCCATGCCAGCCAGGGCCAGAAACTCGTTCTTCATCCCGCTAGCAAGTGTTGCTGAACTCGAGCCAAACACTGGGCACAAGGACTATGGAAATGGACTCAGACAAGCTAGCTCCCAACCTCAGGGACCACGGAGATGGGACACAGAGAGGGAAGGACCTAGGGCGATCAGAAATACTGTTTTCAGGAGCTTGCTGGGAACAGTACTTTCGAAAGGATAGGGAGAATTGACAAGGCTGGAAAGGGCATTTCAGGTCAGAGGTCCAGGAACAAACCTAGGATCTAACTGGAGCAGAGGGCTGAGAAGGTAGTGCCTTGGATCCTGGAAGGGCCTTAAGGGGGTACAGCTGTAGAGCCAGTTAGGGGCACCGCCTCAGGAAGCCGGGGTGCTCTCTGGAGATACATAGTGGTTGATGCTACAAATCAGTGACCAAACTGTGAGGCTGTCTATACCACAGCCAGGAACCACGAAGTGTAGTGTGGTGGGTGGCACCTTGCTGAATCCACCAGATGACCTACTCTCAGAAATGACCACTTCCAAAAAAACAAGAGGGAGAACTCATGGGCATGGACAACAGTGTGGTGATTGCGGGGGTGGGTACAGGTGGAAGAAGGCATAGAGGGAGTAGATGGTGATGGAAAAAAATTTTTAAAAAAATTACCGCTTCGTGTGTAGGGACCCTCCCCCGATGGCCCGATATTCTAGAACTATGGCTCCAGGTACTAATAATGGGTCCACTGCATTGTAAACAGAAATCGCCTGACCCTTGGCCATTTGGGATATATCACATGACTAGGAAAACAGGCACAAAAGTGGCCTATGGTATTGGCAAGCATGCCATTTGGAGAGCTTTATTACAAACAACAGAAACCAACTCTAGTTATTTAAGCAGAACCGTTTTATTGGAAAGCTATGAGGGGGGTGGGGCTTGGGGAATTTTCTGGGACGCTGAAGACTCCAAAACTGGCAGGAACAAGGGAACTGGGCAGCCAAGGACACAGCCACATCCTGCACACCAGCACTGTTAGCTCGGACCACACCAGCAGCACGGGAGGAAAGGCTTGGTGAGCCCGGCTCGGCTGACTTCCTCCCTCCAGACTTCAGGTGCTGAACACTAGTGTCTGATGCTCTTAGCTGAGGTCCCGAGTCCAGGCTGCTCAGGACCTGGGGCCCAGGTCTCCTTCCTTGAGGCCCGGGGCTGCAGGCACAGGGGAGGAGTCCCCTTGCCTGGATGGACTGTTTCTGACTCAAAGGGTAATTAGTGCTCCCATTATGCAAGGAGCAGGAAGATGACCAGGACCCATGGGTGCTCCTAACCTACCTCCTTGTGCAGTGCCTGTTGGGTGCAGCAAAGGTTAATATTAGGCAAACCACCACCACGCCGCCCAATGAGGGCCCTCTAAGGTCAGACTTTGGAGTCTCATGACAGCTGAGGTGCTGGCAGAAGGCCAAGGGGGAACACAGAATGTCTTGGGGGATGAAGTTATAAATACCAGCCTGACCAGGTGCAGAAAGAAAGGGCTGTGGCTTCTAACCAGTGAGAATAAATAATCTGTCTTTTTTTTAATTGGAAAAGTTTTGATTTTACTAATTTTGTTAATATTCATGACACTGTAAAAAAAAAAAATCAAGCAAATGAATTATTTCCACTGAAAAAATCAAAAGCCCCTCTCACTTTTTTCCCCAACCCTCTCTGTCCCTTCCCAGAGGTAACCACTGCCATCAGTTACATATGTAGCTTCTAGAGACTTCTTTGCATTTTCATATATAGTTTGGTTTTGTAGGGTTTTATTTTACGTAAATACTGTACATATTGCTCTGCAATATGCTTTTTTTTTAAAAAAATCTTCACCCGAGGATATTTTCCCACTGATTTTTGTAGATAGAGTAGAAGGGAGGGAGGGAGAGAGAGAGAAAAACATTGATGTGAGAGAGACACATCAATTGGTTGCCTCCTACATATCCCCGACAGGGGCCAGACATTGAATGTGCAACCCTTGGGTCTGGGGGCCGATGCTATAACCATTGAGCAAAACTGGCCAGGGCTACAATATGCTTTTTTAACTTAACATTATTTCTTGGAAATCTCTCTATACCAGTACATATGGTTTTTAACTGCTGCACAATATTAACCCACGCCACCAAAGTATTTAAGTCAGGCTGAAGGACAGGCCCCACTTCAGATTTTGAAAGATAGCTATTCCCCAAACTGCTCTCCGAAATGACTGCTATGGTTTACATTCACACCAACAGCAGGAGTGTTCCCATTTCTTCTCTTCATAGCCCAAACTAGATATTATCACAAAGGAAAACCATTGCTCTCTCACGGACACAATATGTTTCATTGTTGTGTTAATTTCCCTGTCACTGATTGCCTCTGAGGTTGAACATGAACAATATCCAGGCTGCTGGAGAAAACAGCTCTCAGAAACCGCTGGGAGGAGCAGAAATGAGTCCACCTCGCAAAGCAGTTTAGCAATATCTAGTTTGGATGAAGATGCTCAGACCCTAAGGCCCCAAAATTTTACCTCCGACCCTAAGGTCCAGACATTTCTTCTCCATATACTTACCCCTAAAGACATCTGTTAGTAAGTTCACTGCCACAAAATACTGGGAGGAACCTAAATATCCACCAATAGGAACGGATAAATAAATTGTGGTAATTCATAATATTTGTTATTTAGTATACAGCAGTTAAAATGCACAAACTAGATCAACATGTATGAAAATGGCTAAACTTCAATGTTGAGTGAAAAAATCAAGTTGAAAAATGATACACACATTCTATTATGTCCATTTAAAAAACAGAAACACTCTTTTTGGTTACATACACACATACACACATATATATATACATATATACTTATATACACACATATACATACATATGTACGCATATACATACACACATGTATGTCTAAAAACACACAAGAAGTAAACACACCATTTCCTGGGTAGTGCTTACCTCTGTGGAGGAAGGTAAATATGACAGGTGAGGAACTTCACTTGTACCTAAAAAGTTCTCTTTACTGGAGAGAGAGAGAGAGAGAGCTGAGCCAATATGGCCAAATGCTAAGACCCATTAACTCTGTGTAGGTGGATGTCCCCAAAAACTGTATACAGGGTGTCTGTAGATTCTATTACATTTTAACAATGAAATGTATTTTTTTTATCCTCACTTGAGGATATATATATATATATATATATATATTTGCATTTATCATCAGATAGAGTGGGAGGGAGATGGGAGGGAAGAGAGAGAGAGAAACATCAACATGAGAGAGACACATCCACTGGTTGCCACCCACACGACCCAACCAGGGCCAGGGACAAACTGCAACTGAGGTACGTGCCCTTAGTGGGAACCGAACCCCGGTCTCTCTGGTCCACGGGATGATGCTCTAACCGCTGAACCAAACTGGCCAGGGCAACAATGAAATGTATTTTAATAGACACTGGCTTTATAATTACTCAAAGTTGTATATACATTTTTTGGGGACACCCCATATTTAACTCAGCACTTGTCGGGCATATATTTTTCTATTCCCTTTGTATCGCTGTGTTAGAGTAGACAATCTACACTCAGTTTTATATTTTTTGCCCATTCCCTCTGGGAGTTTCTGTTTTCTGAAAGGGGATTTTAACTCCTTCACTCCTACACCCAGTTTGGATCTAATCCTACCATTGTTCTTTCATTTTACCATGCCTTTTCGCCTTCCCATATCCTGACAGGGTGTTCTCCACGCAGCCTTTGCCCCATAGTAGTTTGATAAACATATACTTTATTCCTACTTTTAGAAGTAATTACCCTTAATTTTGCTGTTGTCAGAGTCAGCATTTCCAGTGAAACTAGTTTTTCTACTATTCGGAACACCAAAAACCCTCTTTTATATGGCAAATGCCAAGGATCCATTAAAAAATCACTTAGTACCATTGTTTTAGACAAAACCAAACACTTCCACTATCGCATGTAAAACCAGAAGAACTTTAATAAGCTTTTACGGCATTGCAATTACAGGAACGTTAACCCACAACATGCAACAGAAATGGTGATGCCTTTTGGACATATTTAACAGATGAACGCGATATGATTAACAGGGACATATTCTCCTGCAGAAACAAATGCCACTGATTTCAATATTCAGGTTAGAAAATGTAATGTTCTTATTGCAATCTCAGGTAGCATTTAGAAAGTTTAGTTTTGCCTTTCTAACCTCTAAAACACACTATGATTTTTAATGCCATTGCACACAACTGCTTCACACTGGAAATGATCACAAGAAATCAACGGGTGTAGTAGATTAGTGGGCTGATTGGTTTCATTTCAATGGTTAGTTTGGAGAGGGCTCCTGCAGTATTGTGGATTGCAGATGGGGAAAATCTGGGAGACCAGGAGGCAAGAACCCGGGTCTTAGAGTGGGGGAGGGAACATGCAGCGGCACACAGGGCAGGTGCCCGACTTCTGGAGCCAGATGGACACGCAGGGCTTGTGGAAGTAGTGGTGGCATGGCAGCTCGGTTGCCACCTCCCCTTTCACGTATTCACTGCAACATATGGGGCAACACATTTCTTGGCCCACTGCGCCGTGGTCTTCAGTGACCAGGATCTCAGGAAGGCTGTCGATGCTCTCCTTGCTCGCTGGTGGATTGGCCACCTCCACATCCACCGCGAGAGACTCCAAGTGTGCAAGGGCCGTTTCCATCGCCTGGGCCAGGCGTTCTTCAAGTGCCATGTATGTGAGGAACTGGGGATCCACGTAGGAGATGGCTTCGGCCACCCCCAGCCCATCTGCAAAGCCATCAAAGAGGCTCCAATCCACTTCCAGGTCTTCGCTCACGCTGGAGTCGTCTTCCAGGTTGTTGTTGCCATCCAGCATGAAGACCCCAGGCTGCAGCAACTCCTGACCAGAATCATTATCCCCCTCACTGCTGCTCTCGTTGTCATTGTACCCAGACCAAGGGGCTTCTTCTTCCGGCGATGCCCGCTCCGCTTCCTGAAGAGCCGGTCCTCGAACTTCTTCAAGCTCAGTGCGCTCTCCGCTGCCTGCGATGGCACTAGCACTGGGGCTGGCATTGGCATTCCCTCTGGCACTGCCTCTGGCATTCCCTCTGGCTGGCTCAGGTTCACGCTCTTCTTTCCCTGGCAGAGTCTCCCAGTTCTCTGCACCGGGGAACAGGTTTTTCTCCCAACCTCGATACCTGCGACGCAAAGTGGCAGTCCACTCTTTGTCGCTGTCAGAGTCTTCATCGCAGTATTTGTAGTAGTCATCGCTGAATGTCCAGAAGTCACGGTCGGCCGTGGTCCATGGCCGTCTGGGCACCTTTTCTGGCTTCACGTGGTCGTTCCTGGCTTCCCGCTTGTCCTCGGGGTACTTCGGCTCCGAGTAGCCGCCTGAACTCTCCCCTCTGCCTCTCCGTGCCAGGCCACCCGAGCGGCGCTCCCCAGCGCTGGCAGTGTCCCGCCACCTGGAAGTACTATGTGGCATATCATCATCATCATCAGTATCAAAAAATATTTTTGGTTTCGCGCAGTTTGGACTGGCCAGATTTCGGATTTTGGGCCTCACCACTGGTTCCTCTGCACCCTTTGGGGTGTTTTCCCCACCACCACATATACTCACAGGAGCCCTGCTGGGACACGCAGGTAAATGCTGCTCCCGTCTCTCCCTCTCCAGGCTGTCGCCCTTTGTAGCCACCTTGCTGTCAGAAGCAGAGGTCTGAGGAGCCATGCTCTTTTGCTGCAGGAACTCAGCCCTGCCAGCAGAACGTCTGGCTGCAGGGGCTGGGTCTAGCTTGTCAAGCTCCTCTTTCACATCGCAGTTAAAACTAGAGAACTGGGGAGGCACCCCGACCACAGACCTAGCCCCTTTCTCTGGGTCATACAGCTTGTCATCTTTAAATTTGCCCGTTTTCCCTCTCACTGGCACGCGCTCCACAGGCCCAGCCCCCTCCTCCTCGCTATCATCTGCCCCGAAAGAGTCAATATGTCCATAAGCCATTCCTCTTCTGCTACCCAGACCCCTGTACTCTCTTGGCGGGTACCTGGAGTAGTCCTCATTATCAACATTCAGGCTGGTTCCCGAGTTCTCACTGCCGTTCCAACAACGGCGACTGGTGGAAAATGGCGATCTGCTCCTCTTGGTTTGACTGGGGGCTAATCTGTGCATTGGGACTGCAGATGTCGTCTTTCTCTGGCTGGAAATCCTTTCCTGCTGGCTCGTGGCTGGCCTGAAACTGACATAAGCATGCTTTCTTCCACACCTCCTGCCTGCATGGGACTGCTACCCTCCGCTGGCTTGGGCCATCGAAGCTTGCTAGCTTCCTGACCCATTGCTCTGACTTAGCGCGGCTTCCAGTAAAGCCGGGGCTCAAGTGGAAAGGTTTCTGCTCCCTGCACACACTTTGGAGATGGGAAGATCGAATCAGTTCAGAAGAAAGGAGCAGGGAGATTCTTTCCACCTCAGCAGGCAGGTAACAGAAAGAATAAGGGGCCCCTTCGAATTAGTTTCCCTTTCTTCCAAAGCCTGGAGTAGCATTCCAGCGACTGTCAGGTGTAGACCTGGGACACATTTTTCATGTTGGCAAAATGATCACAAAACTGGGTTTGCAGGAAAGCCAGACTTAGGGGAGAATCTGACAGAAAATGGGGGGGGGTGACTGGATGCTGGGTAGGTGGGTGAAGTACTGTGGAATTGTGCCAACATGGGAAGAGGAAAGACTGCTGTGGTTTTTTTTTATGGAGTGTCTGCGTTTTTCTGAGCCCTGCGGACATACAGGAGAATTGCAAATTGGAATAGGGTGGAAAAAACAGATCACTGTGTGTGCACTGAGTGCATGCATGTCTGCAAGAGGGAGAGGGGCAGGTGGAAGGGGGACCCGCAATCACGCAATGGAGAGATGCTTGTTTGTAGGGGGAAGGTGCAGGTGTCAGTGGCATTGAGAAGAAGCGTGTCACACAGAAATGACAGGTGTGGGTGGCGTGACTTCAGGAGAGGGGCGTGGGTAAGTAAGAGAGAAAGAGAACGTGCATGTGTGATTATATGTGTGTCTCCATGAGTGTGTGGTGTGCATTTGTCAAAATGGAAGGCAACAATGAAGAAATGTCAGTGTCCCTGAAGGAGGATTTCTGCAAGTGTGAGTATGTGCACCGCAGGGACCAGCAAAGGAGGGCTGTTTGTGCACGTACCTAGTGGACAGGAGAGGGGAGCATTCGGAAGGGGTGTGTGAAGACTGGTACAGGGCACATTTGTATGTAAGGGGCCTAGGAAAGAGGAACCATCATTCTGAGGGTATCCTTATGTATGTATGTGGTCGGTCCTGGAGGGTGAGGGTATGGGTGTATGTGCTGTGTGTGTCTGGGGAAAGGCACTGAAGGGTGTGACAGTGTGTGAGCCTGTGTCCATGCATGTGGGGGAGGGGCCGCACAGGAACCTTGAATATGGGGAGGTTTTCAATGGGATGTTTCTCTGTGTGTGTTTGTGCACGCACACGTGTGCTTGTGTGTGTGCATGCTTGTGTGTCCCAGCATGCTTGAGACCCGGGGAGGGGGAGGGGAAGATAGGGAGAGGGGGAGGGGTCTGCAATGTCAAAATGAGAGCTGGGCAACCATTATCAGCTCCAATGGCAGGTCCACACCAATGTGGCAGGGAAGGGGGAAAGAACGGGTATGGCTATAGTTTTCCCCTGGAAATAATTGTTTTTTCTGACAACAATATATTTACCTAAAAATCTCAGCAATTTCCCATTCAGCAAACCAACTGCAAAACGAGGGCAGAAAGGCCACGGAGTGTTGCGCAAAGGGGCTGGGAAGGGAGGAGAGGCCGGGAGAGGTGGGGCAGCGCCGAGACCTCTGCTCCCTCTCAGTGATGGGAGCCATTCGAGTGGGGGCCGCGCCGCGGGGAAGGGGCCGAGGGACAGAGCCTGGGGCTCCCAAACAGGCCGATCGGTGCAGGACACAGGCCTCCTACTGCGGGCAGGTCCCTCGAACGCCCCACCCCTTCCCGAGGGGCGAGCCCCAAGATCTGCCCGCTAGAGCTCCTCCAAATCGTCCCCCGGTGCCCGGCCGCTCGCGCCACCGCCCCGTCTGCATGGATGCAGGCCCTCCGCGGCCTCCCACTCACCAGTCAGGACACCCGCGCGCTCTCGGGAGGAGCAGTGCTCTCGGACCTCCGACCGCCACGACCGCCGGAGCCGCCGCTCCGGGTCCGGCTCCTCCCCGCCAGATAACAGCAGGAGGGCGGTGACTGAGGCGGCGGAAGTGACGGCAGCTACAGCTGGGGCCGCCCCTTGATGGGGCGGGGGTGGCAGCTGCTGCAGAGAAATCGGGGTGGGCCTGAAAGCTTTATTTCATTTTAAATGATGAATTCGCCAAGGATACAGAAAAGGACAGCGAGAAATGTAACCAACAGCCAGCTTTAACAAATGTTAACCATTTAGCCATATTCCCTTCTGTGCTGGGTTGTTGTTTTTTTTTAATAAAATGAAATCTGCAAATTCTTTCTGATTAATTCCAATGTGAAAGTAATTATATTAATATATATCCTATGTTACATGTTATGGTTTGTACTGGAAGCATTAAAAATGTGAAACTATATTGAGGGTTTGCAGTAAGCTTACATTTTTGTACCTGCTTGAGACAAATTGAACTGTTTACAGGAGAATTTCTTGCTGTTAATCACAAAATCAAGCTGCTCTATCCAAAAGAAATGATCAGTCATGAAGCCCAACGCGAGTTCACCTAGGGGTACCAACAGAATAGAAATAAGATGTATGACTTTCAAACCATTAAAGAAACAATGCACAGAACCAAGAGAAAAACCCAGTTTAACAAAGGGCAGAAATGGGGAAAGAGGCAACAGGAACGGATATTAAAAAAAAGCCAAAGGGCAGGAATAAATCTAAATATATCAGTATGCATCATGGGTTCACATCTCCTATAAAAAACAAACTCTCATTTTAAGCATTTCATTTTTAGAAATCTGGTTACATGCTGTTTATATGAATTTCACCTAAAGCAAAAGTAAGAAGGAAAATTTTTGCAGTTAAATACTAGCAGAAAGGAAGGAAGAAATGTAGAAAGAGAGGGAAGGTGGGAGGGATGGTAAGGAAAATACTTTTTTAAAAGAAATAAAGAGAAGGGAAGAAGGAAGAAAGGAAATAAGGAAAGAGACACATAGTAACGTTAATACAAGAAGAATCAAGAACTCAACCTAAAAAGCATTAAAGAGAACAAAACAGCTTGCTCCATCCACCCAGAAGATACCGTCGGTAACATTTATATGCCAAACAATGTAATTTCAAAATATATGAGGCAAACATTGTTAGAAATATAAACAGAGATCAAAAAGTCTGCAATTATAGCAAAGACTTAAAATTGTTATGGTATATAGATAGATCAAACAGACTAATAAATTAGGATATAAAGGGATTGAACAACACAATCAATAAGATTAATAAGCTTGATCTAATGTATATGCATTTATTAAAATATTTAAAACATTTCAAACATACAGAAGAGTACGAAGTATAAAATGCACACTTCCATGTAACTGTCACACAGATTGAGCAAATATTATTTTCTTCACCTCTTCAGATCCTTCTGTTTTTGAAGCAAACTATAACAGTTGAAGCCCTCACTTTATCCCATTCATCTTACTTCTTTTTCCCAAAGAAGCAACATTTAGACTTTTCCTTCTTATCCATATTTGTTTTCTTTTTCTACACATGTAGATATCTGTAACCGATACACATTCTTGTTTTATGCATTTTAAATTCTGTGGATGGTAACATAATAAATATATCCTTCGCAGTTTAAAATATTACTTATTTTCTTTTTTTTATTTTTCTTTTTTTAGAAATTTAGCAGTTTCATGCATTTAAATTAAGGTCATGCATTTTAACTGCTGAATACTATTGTGTCAATTCTCCAATATGATATTACTATAATATATTATTGAATGGACTTCTGTTGCATGAATTATCCAATTTCTTTCATCTCTTTCCCTCCTGATGGACTTGGGTTGTTTCTGTTTTGTGCCACTATAAATGGAGATTTAATGAACATGGTTCCTTGTGGCCATATGGAAGAGTTTCCCTTGGGCAGAGCTTCCCAACTAAGTAATGGATGTTCTGATATATTGATCCCCTTAGCCTTCCAGGAAGATGGATCTGACTTCACTCAACTGCTGCCCTGGAGACTGTTGTCTGGCTAAGAACAGACTGTGTTCATCCTAGTGAGCTGGTATACATATTAGCATTTTAAACATATGCTTTGATGTGAAAAGAATTGGAAAAAAACTGCTCTAGTGTATATACATTGAAATTGAATTTCTGCATCAAAGAATATGTAGTAGTTATCTATTGCTGCATAACAAATTGCCCCAAAACTTAGCAATTTAAAATTTAAATAAAACAGACACATATTATATCATAGTTTCTGTGTGTCAGGAATCTATGAATGGCTTAGCTAAGTGCCTCTGGCTCACTGTCTCTCATGGGGTTGCACTCAAGCTGTCATCTGGGGCTGCAGTCTCACTTGCAGGCTCAATGGGGGCGGGATATCCACATCCAAGCTCTTTTATATGGCTCTTGGCAGGCCTCAGAAGATCCACTTCCAAACTCAATCATGTAGTTGCTGTCAGGCTTTGATTCCTTGCCATGTGGCTTCATAGGTGAATTTTATCAAACATTCAAATAAGAACTAACATCTACACTTCTCAAACTATTCACAAAAACTCAAGAGGAAGGAAAACTCCTAAGCTCATTTTATGAGGCCAACATTATAAACCAATATCCCTGATGAATGTGGATGTTAATAAAACCCTCAACAAAATATTAGCAAATTGGATCCAGCAATACATTAAAAAGATCATACACCATGATCAAGAAGAATTTATTCCTGGAATGCAAGTTTGGTACAATATTCTCAAATCAATAATGTGATACACCACATAAACAAAATGAAGGATAAAAATCATCTGATCATATCAATAGATGCAGAATAAGCATTTGACAAAATCCATCAGTCATTTATGATAAAAACTCTCAGCAAAGTGGGAACAGAAGGAACATACCTCAACATAGTAAAGACCTGCAAACCTGCAGCCAACATCACACTCAATGGGGAAAAACTAAAAGCATTTCACTTAAGATCAGGAACAAGACAGAAATGTTCACTTTCACTACTCTTTTTCTTTTATTATTCTAGCCAGAGGGCTTTTTTTTTTTGCATTTACTTTTAGATAGAGTGGGAGGAAGAGAGAGCGAGAGAGAGAAACATCAATGTGAGAAAGACACATCGACTGGTTGCCACCCACACAAGCCCAACCGGGGCCAGGGACAAACTGCAACTGAGATACATGCCCTTAGTGGGAACCGAACCCAGTACTCTCTGGTCCACGGGTCAATGCTCTAATCACTGAGCCAAACCAGCCAGGGCCGCTTTCACCACTCTTATTCAACATAGTACTGGAAGTCCTAGCCACAGCAATAAGACAAGAAGAAATAAAAGGCATCCAAATTCGACAGGAAGATATAAAACTATCATTATTCGCAGATAACATGATAAGGTATATAGAAAACCCTAAAGACTCCACCAAAATACTACTGCAATTGACAAGTGAATTTAGTAAAGTAGCAGGATACAAAATAGATATTCAGAAATCAGTTGAATTTGTATAGACCAATAATGAACTATCAGAGAGAAACTAATAGAACAATGCCATTTACAATTGCATCAAGATAAATGAAATACCTAATAATAAATTTAACCAAGGAGGTAAGAAATCTGTACTCTGAAAATTATAAGACACTGAAGAAAGAAATTGAAAAAATATATAAATAAACGGAAGCATATACTGTGCTCATGGAGAGAAAGAGTTAACATCATTTATTCTATAGATTCAATGAAAATTTTATAAAAATGTCAATGGCATTTTTTTACAGAACTAGAACAAATAATCCAAAATTTTATATGGAACCACAAAAGACCCAGAATAGCCACAGCAATATTTTGAAAGAAAAACAAAGTAGGAGAAATCATACTACCTGATATCAAACAATGCTACAAGGCCACAGTGATCAAAACAGCATGGTATTGGCACAAGAGCCATCTATAGAACAGTGGAACAGAACAGCCCTGAAGTCAATTAATCTACAACAAAAGAAGCAAGACAATATTGTGGGGTAAAGGCAGTCTCTTCAATAAGTGGTTGGGAAAATTGGACAGATACATGCAAAAATGAAACCAGATGACCTTTGTACAACATATACGAGAGTAAACTCAGAATGCATTAAAGACTTAAATGTAAGGCTCGAAACCAAAAATCTCCTAGAAGAAAACAGTGAAATCTCTGACATTTTTCTTAGCAATATATTTTTTGATATATCTCCTTGGGAAGGGAAGCCAAAGAAAAAATAAACAAATGGAACTATATCAAAATAAAAAGATTTTGCACAGCAAAGGAAATCATCAACAAAACAAAAAGACCTACCTATTGAAAGATGTTCACCAATGATACATCCAATAAGGGGTTAATATCCAAAATTTATAAAGAAGTCATACAATGTGAAACAAAGAAACAATCCATCCATTTTTAAAAATGGGCAGAGGACCTGAATAGACACTTTTCAAAAGAGAATATATAGGTGGCCAATAGACATATGAAGAGATGCTCAACATCTCTAATTATCAGGGAAATGCAAACTAAAACCACAATGAGCTATCACTTCACACCTGTCAGAATGGCTAGCATCAATAAATCAACAAACAACAAGTGTTTGTGAGAATGTGGAGAAAAGAGAACCCTTGTGCACTGCTGGTGAGAATGCAGATTGGAGCAGCCACTGTGAAAAGTAGTATGGAGTTCCTTCAAAAACATAAAAATGGAACTGCCTTATGACCCAGCAATTCCACTTCTCATTATATATCCAAGGAAACCCAAAACACTAATTTGAAAGATTATATGCACCCTTATGTTCATTGCAGCATTATTTACAAAATCCAAGATATGAAAGCAGCCCAAGTGCCCATCGACAGATGAGTGGATAAAAAAGTGGTGGTACATGAATACAATGAAATATTACTCAGCCATAAAAAAGAATGAAATCTTATCAATGCAACAGCATGGATGGGCCTAGAAGGTATAATGCTAAGTGAAATAAGTCAGACAGAGAAAGACAAACACCATATGATTTCACTTACATGTGGAATCTAAAG